GACCACATCCATGAGTCATGTGATTTTAAACAAATAAAAAGATCACTGAGTTCTTTCATAAGATATTCAGAATTATGTCAATCAAAAGAAGAAACAAAAAGCAAAGCTGCTGATTTCTTACCTATTTCTCAAGATTCAGTGCATTCAGCCTGTCCTGGACATAGCCAGATGAAGATGATGGTACCTCCATGTAGTAAAGCTCATACTGAGAAAATAAATCAAACAACTGTTACTGAAAGTGAGAATCAAATCAGTGTCAGGACTGAATCTGTGATGGCAACACATCTCATTGATGACAGCCAATCTGCATCTTCCCTCACCAAAAAGAAGAAGAGGAGAAAATCATCTAAATTTCTAGAGCAAGGTACATATGAAAATCAGAAAGATAAAGAAATTTCAGGGACAATTAAAAGTGAGGGAATGCATATCACAAGCAAAACCACAAAGGATTCCACAACAGAGGCTATGGATAATTATTCCGAAATGCCTCAGAAAAAAAGAACGGAATGTTTTATAAAAAACAATGATGGGTCTGTCAATTTAGACAAAAGCGTATGTCCTGAAGATGAGTTGTATCACCAGGATTCAGTAAAACAAAACAGATTGTCATTTAATAAAAAATCAAGAAGTAATAACAAGTTGGCCAAGGTAAAATTGAAGTCAGGCAAAAAAAATAGTATTGTTTCATCTGCAAAGAGTGAAGATGGTCTAATGACAGTTGATTCAAACAATGAATCTGAACACAGTCACGGTACATTAAGTACTGAGAAAGAAGGCACACATCTCACAACCAGTTCTTTTGAACAGACGCCTCACTCATCAGTGATTTCAAAGCCATTGTCAGAAATCCCAAAGAATCTTAACTTTGAAAAAGAAAAGGAAAAGAATATTTCTGAACATTTGCCATCAAAGAAAGAGAAAAAGCAAAAGGGGATGAAGAAAAATCTAAGTAAAGCTGTAAATAAGTTAAATATGTCAGAGAAAGCCATTACACCAGAGGCTCTAAACCAGGAGGATTTTCAAGACAAGGGTGTTGGGCATTCAGTTGAAAACTATGTCCAAACTTGGCTGAAAAACTTGTTACCAAATTCTGTCTTACCCCCTATAAATAAAAAGGAAGGGAATGTAGAGAATAGCAGTGTCTGTCATTTTCCTAAAGAAAATACTGATCCTTCTATAGATAAAGAAACAAGATTTATCACAAATAAAGTGCATGTGACTGGAAAAAACCATCTGGTTGAACATAATCTAGCAGAAAAAGCATTAAATCCTACTTGTGAATTGGGAACTTTAGAAGAATCAGCCAAGGATTCGGGTGAAAAACAAACTGACTCTTTGATTCATGCTAATACAACTATAGTAGAAGCAGCCAAGTATTCACTAAAGTCAGAATTTCATCATGATGGTAAGCTGCACTTGTTTCATGAAACACATGACAATGGTAAAAAGATGTCAGAATCTGATATTCAAGATACCAACCTACGTCAAAGAAAAAAGTCTGAAGTTGCTGTTCAAGTTGATTGTGCAATTGTCAATGAGAAAATGGGAATTGGTGTTCAGAATAATTGCATGTCGAGCATGTTGCTGCATGAACTACAATCAGCTTTGCTTGGTCTCCAGAAAGAACATAATGGATGTATAGGAAAAGCTTGCAGCCTTTCAGATCTTTCTTCTTCAGCTTTTGGTTCTTCCTCCAATGCCCTCCTAGCTTGGCTACTTGTACTGAATCTCAGAGACAGTTTGATTGGGACAATCAAAGATGATATGCAAAAAACTACCTGTAGCTGTTCTGAAATATTTACACAGTTACAATTTCTGAAACAAACTACAGTCATAGAAAAAGTTGATGAACTGAAGGCTGCCTTCTCACATTTTCAACGATCAACAGAAAATAAGGTATTGCACTTTGGGAGGGAACTCAAAAAACAGGACTCCATGCATTGCCATGAAAATATGCCCATATCAGAAATTCATAATGGTATACCCTTGCATGAAAATGAAAAATCAGTTGAGCCTTGTATTCCAAATGACAGTGTAAATTCTGAAGAAGCTCTAAAATTGACTGATGAATTAGAAAGCTGTTTTGGTACACAGAAGGGTCTTTGTAGAGAAATAGAGACTTTAGACTTGAGTGCTCCCAAAGCACAGCTAGATGGTCAATATGCCAATACTAATTCAAATACCTGTAGCCTTGCATCAGCTATAGAGACACCTGAAAGAAATGAAGAAATGCCTGATAACCTATATAAAAAATCTCAAGATAAAATCACTGATACATCATTCATTAATGAAGAGTCAGAAACTTCAGTAGAACCTAACTCAACAGTTCATAGTGTAACTTCTAATGATAAAAATTGTACTTTAGATCAGGATACTTCTGAGTTAGAAGGTGAAAAAGATATTACATGTGTTACTATTGATAAAAGTGAAGATGAGAAAGTTGATCCAAAGTCAGCAGATAGTGACAAAAAAACAAATAATCAACTTAAACTAGCTGCTGAAGCCTCTGTAGAATATAATAATGAGGATTATTCTGTACAGGAAGACAAGGAAGATGCAGAAACTTGTGAGGAAACCTCTGAGAGGTTATCTACAGTCTCTCCATTATCATTTTGTTATGAATCAAAGCAAATTACAGAAAGTGATATGAGTGAAGAAGAACAGAAATTGCAAGTAGAAGAACTGGAGAATAAAATGTGTTCAGACACTTCTCAATTAAAAAAATGCTTAAAAAGTCCTGCTACTTCAGACTGGTCAGATTACAGACCAGATACTGAAGAGAGTGATTATAACTTTAGAGCATCCAGTGATTTGACCAATGAAAGCGGGGAGGAAGCAGTGCTTGAAAAACATTATAATACTGGCTATGTAAAACGAACTATTGAACAACTTTATGGCAAGACAGAAGCTTCATTTAAGCCTGATTTTCACAAAGGATTTCCTTATATGTCAAAAGTATTTCAAGAAGAAGAATTCCACTCTGCAGTGGTGGAAAAAAACATTTATTTTTCTCAAGAACCCAGGTCTTGTTCTGCAGAGAAATTGTCACATTCTTCACTACCATCACAAGAATTTCCAGTAAACATAAACAAAGATGACACTATATTGAGAAGAGAAAATACTTCTCTACCAACACTACAACCTACTCTTAACAGAGAAGAGACAAGTTATACTAATGACCGTTCAGGGGAATCTTCAAAGCAACATTATCAACCTAGCATACAAGATAATGCAGATGAAGGAATATTGATAGATAAAGGCAAATGGCTTCTAAAAGAAAATCATTTGATAAGAAGATCACCACCTGAACGGATTGGAATGTATGATAATTTGGATACAACATCAACAGACACAGTCCTTGATACTAACAGTGATGATGTTCCATACTCGCACTTTGGCAATCTGAATCAGTACCCAGTCCTCAATGAAATCTCTTCTTCAGAACTTGAAGACATAGCTAAACCCTCTGACAATTTTTGCAACTACTTCAATATGCCTCATAATAGTGATTCAGACCCCTTTCAGGATGACTTAAGTAACCACAATGGTAAGAGCACTTCCTCTCCTGCAGCAAACAAAGAAAAGATCCCACCATCAGTCATGGTACGTTCTACTTCCACACATCTTTCTACACAGGCTGATAACAATTGTCCAGCCTTTACATCTGTAGAATTTAGATTACCTGATAACAAGGTGCACCCATTGGAACAGCCTTTAAATGATGAACCTATACAGTCTCAGCCAACTGATGTTAGTAATGCCAACAGAAGTGCTCTTCAGGAAGAAGATTCTCTGGATAAACTCCATGCTATATGTGGCCAACATTGTCCAATACTGATGGTGACAGTAACACCAATTAATGAGGAACAGAGAGGATATGCCTACCAAAAGGCATCTGACATTGAGAACCAGCTGGGCCCACGTTTGTTGGCCAAAAAGAGTGAACATTTACAATGGTCAGGTGAAGATTTAATAACAGACAAAAATAATCATGTGACTCTGAAGAATAACTGTATCAGTAAGATTGCCAATAATATTTTTAATAGGTTTTATGCTAATAACACCTTAGATTTTATTAGTAACTTTGGAATACTTGCATCTTCAACTCTGAAAGACAAAAACAGTTTAGGGAAGTTACATGTTACAGAGGATATGAATGTAAAACCCGTGGAAATCAGCAACTGTCAAAATAATGTATCCAAACACATACCCAATGTCCTTGTGATAGGCACAAATGGTGAGACACCCAATAGAAAGCCTAAAATATGCCAAACCCTAAGAATAAGCCTAATTCATATTGTAGGAGAAAAATTTTCTCCCATGTTGGCAGATCCAGCAGAAACCTGTCATTCTGAAACATTTCTGAAGTGTGACACTTCTTTAAATAACACTGAACATAATGCCTCTGAAAATCTGAAAAATAAAAATGCCTTTTCTACAGAAGAGGAAGAAGAAGAAGAAGAAGAAGAAGAAGAAAAAGAAGAAGAAGAAGAGGAAGTTGGCTTTTGTACGATGGACAATGGAAACAGTAAAGATGAAAAAGACTTGTAATAGAGATCTTGGAATTTCTATAACATTAGATTAGTGAAAACATCTTCAGAAAAAAAAAAAATCATGAAATAAACTGCTGAATGCCACACCCAATAAAACTCCTAATGTGAATACAGCCCAGACTTAGATAAACATAAATCGCAATTGTACGTTATTGCTGAAATACAGATGAGTACTTAAATTTTGATGGTAACCAACATAGGAAGAAAAGCTGTTCTAAGACAGTGATTTCTTGGTTAAAAACCAGGTTTTCCCTGAAATGTAGTCTGTTCAGAGGTATTCAGTTATATACCAACCATCTAATTTGCAGCAAAACGACTACTGCTTGTTAGAACAGAGAACTGAAATTTGAAATACCCGCCTGAGTTCTAAGATAAGATTCCTATATTTCATGACATTTGAGAAAGGGTTTGAGAATTGTCTTTCTTTTTCCAGAACAAAATCAACTGATATGTTTAATTTTAAATGAAAAGAAAGAAATACTATTCAAGTGCTGTAATGCAATGAAAAGTAGGAAACAGAAGTCATGTTAATTTTATATAGATTAACATTATCAAATTGCTATCTCAGTTTTTAAAGGCCAATTTCAGAACATTTATGTGAGTAAAGAGATCTTTTAGTCTGTATATAGGATCATCCAGACCCCAAATGAAGTTTTTCTCTTTTACGCAGAGGATACTAGAAAAGGAGAGTATTTATTCACACTAGGATTACACAGGAACTGAGACTGTGTCAATGGACTTCCTGACTTCACTTGCCATATTCTCTTCTGAGGAAGCACCACTTACTCTTAAAATTGTTCTACATACACTACATGTTTTAGTCATGTGTTCTTCTTTAACCTATGTACTTTAAAGGTGGTCCATGTCTTTTTGGGTTTTTTTTGTGATTTGGGGTTTTTTTTTGTTTGTTTGTTTGGTTTTTTTTTTAATAAGTTGTACTATAAGAATCCGATGCATATGCAATATGTTTCAGGATCTTTCAGTCTGTTATTAGAATTATTTTGGATACCTGTTTACAGCATTTCTTAATATTATGTGTGCATAGTAAGCACTTATATATAGTTTGTAATTTTCAGTAAATGATTTTAAATATAAAATTGAGAAATGTTTAATGTATATTTTGATTAGGCAGAGTATTTCAGATTTTAATCCCTAACACTGCATAGTACCTTGCTTCAATGTCAATGAAGTCAGAGATATACCTGAAGAAGGAGGGTGGTATTTTTCAGTTAGAGAATGAGAATTTGGCCATTCTGTACTCTTGGAGGCTGTGTCTAGACTAACTGGCTAGTTAGTAGCTTGTACATGCTACGATAAGCCCTGGATCATAATCCTTTGGTTATCCAGACTGGGGACCTAATTAAAGGCTGACACAAATCCATTTTGCCCAGAGGCTTTGATTTTCTCCCTGTGGGACACAAGGTACATGGGAGGGAAGTAGAAGTTAGATATGGAGCAAAAGGGTTTTGCAGTACAGGCAGGAAACCTAGAAGCACTCTTCAATTCTTTTTAGGAGTCCAGTGGCAGATATATTTCCCCATAAATAACTGATACATTTCTGTTGTTTGAAGCAGTGTATTCTATGTAATAAACTAACATTGCAACCCTAAGGCAACATACGTTGTCTAATATATTTCGCACCAAATAGCTGTGTATTATTTCCTATGCTGGCCTTGTTTCTGATGTTCTTCCCTCCATCTCCACATTTTCTGGCACCCTCCTTCGCATGTTTTAGAATTGCTTCAAGTGAAGAGTCTCAAAGGTATTTTGTCATCCTTTTACATGTCAATACAGAAATAAAACCTATGTTTGGAAAATGAAGCTCAAAACTACTAGAATCCAACTAAATGCCATACAGCATTCTGAGTACCAGGCTTCTATGCTGTAAATAATGTCTAAATGTTAGATAGGCAAATTAACAGCCTTTCTGCTGGATTCACAGCACCTTGTGGTGCATTCACAGCACCTTAATTTTTTCAGATCAAGGTTCAAGAACTTTTAATCAGATGCTTATTATAGGGTTACTGAGCAAACTAAGCACTCAAAAGGTGAGATGTGAGGTACTGCCTGAGGTTACAATTAGCAGAGACCACAGCAAGTGGTGAAATGATTGTTATATTAACAGAAAGACTTCCTTCTAATTTCAGTATGTTAACTGAAAGAGAAGAAATAAAACGGTCACCACAGAGCAGGATAAAATGTTGAGTGAGATGTACCATACTGTCATAGCGTTTATATATTCATTAATGGTTCAGAGAAGATATAGCATATTAAGGGGCTGAGATATGCAGATAAAAGAAAATTCTTTCATTAGGTAAGCTTGGAGAAGGCTGAAGAGAGAACCTCAAAATGCTGGTGACTAGAGCAACGTACTGATTGACAGAGGGAAAAACACCATGAGCAGTAGTACGAGCTACTTTATATAGGTAGCTTAATTCTGCAAATTAACTGCAAAAGGCATAGAGTCTTTCTGAATAAGTCAGGATAAAATATACTTGGAAGTGACAAGCATATTAAATAATGTGTAAAGAACAGGATAGAAAATAATTCAGCAGTCATTCAAGGGCTTTATATAGATTATGCCATTCTTCTAGAAGGAATTCAGTTTTTATCCTGCCATTACTAAAAAAGAAACAGCAACATAACATATAGATCACAGTCCCAGGAAGTTTCAGTTTATCTAGTTTAGCCCCCTGCTAGAAAAAAACCACACAATTAGGTAAGTAATTCCATTTAATTACTATATCTCATTTTAAAACTTGTTATCTACAGTCATTACAGCTTCCACTGGAGAGATGCTGTAGAGCTTGAGTCCTTCTTCTGATGTTTGTCTTAACTGTTTTGTAATTTCTATTCTAAGCCTAGTCATGGTTAGTTTGTATATGTGTATCCCAAAGCCATCATTTATTTACTTAGATATGTCTTTTTCCTCCTTGGTATCTATCAACAAAATCAGACATTCTCTCAACATTTTCTCCTACATCAACTTTTTCTCAATTTCCTCTAATCATCACGGTTGTTTTTCTCAGGACCTTTTCTAGTTTCAATAAAACTTTTTTTGAATATGATTACCAGAACTTTGTGCAGCATTTAAAAAGTTGTCTCTCTGAACTCTGGGACACTGACAGTAAAATTTCTCTACTTAGAAATCTCTCTCCTGGTGCATCTTACAGTCACATTGATGACTCACTCTGCTATTTTTTTTCAAGTGATAAATTCTCTGTTCATAGCATTAAGTTTTGGTAGTATTTTAAAAATGCATTTCCTTGCACTTTATGCTTTTATGTATTATACCTTTTCTACTATGGATTTTCTGATCCTCTTATACCTTGACAATTCTTAGCGACTGTGTTACAGAAATTACCTACTTGATGCTGTGTATTGATGAAAATATGAAATCCAGATAAATTCCAACATTGATTCCTGAGAAACTTGCTAGTATCCCTATAAATTAATACTTCTCATTTCTGCAAAAGTGTATAATATCCCATTTAGGTAGCTATTTTATTAGTCTACAGTGTTGCACTAATCCACTTCTCCATTTTATCTACTAATTTCTCAAATAATGCTTGGATAGATTAGAGCTACTGTAATTTCCTTGCCTACAAAGATGAATTCTCATTATCATGGAGGAGATTGGGTACTCGAACAATGCGAGTCTGGATACCTTGTGCCATGTATATGCAGTAAACTGATGCTGGTAATCTTTTTTTCTGTTTAGCGGTATATATCTGGAGATAACTGTCCATCATTTAAAATTTGTTCAAAAACATTACCTAGTGTTGCTTTGGTGTAAGATACATGGGGTTTAGTATTTCAGTGCACTCTTCATCCCATTCTGATTTTCCATTTTAAATTTCCCATTCCATAGTCCATTCTTGTCAACAGTGCTGACATTTCCCAATCACTGTATGTCACCATTCTTACTAAAAAAAAAAAGAGGCAGTTTTCACTTTATTGTAAAGGCTTATTTAGTTTGTGTCCTCAAATTCAGCGCAGAGTGTATGTAGTCCTTCTTTGCTTATTCTTTTTTAATGTGTATGGTTAAATAACCTTTTACTAGTTTCTTTTATTTTCCTTTGCTATACCTCACTTTTCAGTTCAATTGACTTTGTTAACCTTTTCCTTTAGTTTTGAAAATTTGTTATTTTTAAATCAAAGTAATTCTCAACTAATTTTACTGTGAACCAATATAAATATTGAGGGATTTAAAAAAATGTTAATCATACAAAAATTTTATTCAATAACAGTCAAGACTAGCATTTAATCTAAATACAGTATTTTCTTTTTTTCTCCCTTTTTTCTTTCAGCAATATCTCACAATTAAATTTTCAGATGTCATTGCCAGTGCATGACAGGCTTATATACAAAACAGTTACATAGTAGAGAATTTATTTGGTATCTTTATAGAATCATAGAGTCATAGAATCGTTTAGGTTGGAAAAGACCTTTAAGATCATCCAGTCCAACCACTAACCTAACATTACCAAGTCCACACTAAACCAGTCAAGGGTAGACTAGACTAAACCATGTCCCAGAGTGCCACGTCTACCCGTTTTTTGAATGCCTCCAGGGATGGTGACTCCACCACCTCTCTGGGCAGCCTGTTCCGATGCTTGATTACCCTTTCCGTGAAGAAATTTTTCCTAATATCTAATCTAAACCTCCCCTGGCACAGCTTGAGCCCCTTTCCTCTCGTCCTATCACTAACTACTTGGGAGAAGAGACCAACACCCACCTCACTACAACCTCCTTTCAGGTAGCTGTAGAGAGCGAGAAGGTCTCCCCTCAGCCTCCTCTTCTCCAGGCTAAACAACCCCAGTTCCCTCAGCCGCTCCTCATAAGGCCTGTGCTCCAGTTACTACCTGTGTAACTACCCTTGCCCTGAAAAAAAAAAGTTAAACATATCTTCTACTGACTTTGCAATGAATATTCACATATGGGTAGAGGTGAAGACTGGAAACTATTAACTGGAAAGGCTCCAAGAGACTGAAGACAGTGTATTGGAGATGAAGCCATTGCACACAGTGATCTATAGTAATCACTGCTATTCCTAGTGTGATATATAGAAAGCTGGATTACATGATTTTGCATATCTAAAAGTGTATATAACATAAAAACTAATGAGAAATGACTGATTTCTCAGAAGTGTTAGGCTCCTCCAGCTGAGTGTATAGAAACAATACTTAGGTATCATGTGTTGTTTTTCATTTATGAAATGCATAAGGCATATTTCTCTTTACTTCTAAGGATGCCAGAAGAAAGCAATACCATTTAAGTGTTTAATTTATCACTATTAAACAAGTTACTTGACTTTTATAGCACTGATGTTATCAAATATTATTAGTGTAATTACCATGTTAACCCACTGTAAGAATTAGGGGGACTATTTAATGCAATTTTCTTACCTTAATAAACTAAATTAAGAGGTTAGATACACATACATAGAGACACTTAGATGTTGTATACATATGCTAGTTTCTCAGTTATAAGTCAGATTAACATGGAGGATTATATGGTCACCTGTCATCAGTCATGGCTCACAAAATCGGAGCAGACGCTGCTTTGGATGGTGTAAAGAACCCCCTTTGTAATAGAAACAGTGAGCTAACTTCAGCTGTGGAAAAAGCAGCTTACAGCAACTTTTGAGAAGGGTCACACTGCTCTGTTGTTGGAAAATGTGATTCTGCCAGTTACTTCTCCTCCTCAGGTTGCACAGTTATTATTTTTTCTGTATTCTTTCAGTTTAGTGTGTTCAGGCTATGACAATTCTTATAATCATGAAGTTTAACCTGTTGGTAAGAGTAGCTGTTTGGCAATTTATTATTTAATAATGGCAATATAATTACTTAGGAAGCATTGGTACTGTAGTTGCACATTCACAGTAGTTTCAGAAAAGTGCTGCTTTAAGAGTATCTTTAAAATTGAGTAGTGGTATATACTCCAAATTTCTCATGATAGTAATATATTTTAGATGCCTGCATTTAAAACAATATAACTTCTCTCAGGTTCTGTCTCTGTCTTTTAAAATTTTCACACTTTCTACTCAGCTCATGGACCTACAGCATTTTTCAAACAAATAAGTAAATCTCAGAACACTACTGTGGAAGTTCAAGGTCTTGAGGTTTGTCCTCAAAGATGAACTAACCATAACGTTAATGTCTCCCTGTCTCTCCGCTAAAAGTATGAAAAACTATCTCTTTTAATAGTTACTGGTTCTACAACACTGCATTTCCCAAGGAATGCATTTTTTACACACAAAGCACAACGGCCACACAGAAGTAAAAATTTCCTCAATAGGTATAGCCCAATGGTTATAGCAAGACACAAAACTTCTGGATTCTACCATCAGGTCCCATTAATATGTTAGATTTCATAATGTGCGTTTACTGTGCCTTGTTTTCTGCCTTTTATTAAAAGCAGAATTAATTACTCAAACATAATGGCTAAGTGGTATGGAGGACATATTCTCAACTCATTTATTTCCTAGATACAAAGGTACTGACATGCACCATGCCTAGGTCAGCCTAATTATCAATTTCTTAAATATCTTTTCTTGGCTAAACATGAGCAAGTAAAAATATTAATCCTACCTTATTTTTTCCAGAATGCCACAGAAAACTAAATGCAAATTCCTCAAATCATTGGTTTCACTAGTCCTCAAATAATATTCTGCTGCAACATAATTCTGTGTGTGTTTCATGATCAAGGTCCACTGACTCCTATAAGAAAATGCCCATGGCTAGCACTGAAAATACTGAGCGACACTCAAGGCAAAAGTGGTTTCACTGAACCTCACAATAGAACTGCAGGATAGCTTATTGCCTGGGGTTTAAGAGACACAGATCTATTTTAAGTATCTCAAATAGTCAGTAAACACAAAATTAATCATATCATGATGAGCACACTCATCATCGCTATATTATTTTTTAGTGTTTTAGCCAGAGCAGACAGGACCAAAGATACTGTGATGGAGGGAAAAGTCAGTAATACAGGTAAAACGTGTAGCATAGATGAGTCATTAGATGATAGGGGGCTTCTGTAGTCAATAAGGTCCCTTATTACTGCTGCTTTACTTTAAAGCAAGTTCTCTTTTAAGAAACAGTGACATTAATCAGTGGTGCAAAACAGTCTCAGTCAGCTTGGGAGGTGTTTAAATGTACAGCATTTGAGATGGGTATCAGCTAATTAGGAAAATTGAGAGTGAGGGTGTTTTCTTAATATTCCTTCCTGTTATCAGCCATCCCTCAGCGATACCATTTCCCTTAATTCCATGCCATTGATACTCAGCTTCCACTAAACCAAATCCTAAATCCATGTACTTGGTCTTGATACTTATGAAATTTAACCATGGAAAGAGTATTGGTATCTCAGGAAATAATGCCAACACTGCAATGCAAGAATATGCACTGGTAATCCTTCAGTGGATTCTAAACAAGCTGTTACATCTGCGTAGCCCATCACACCTTTGCAGAGATACAGATCCTTCCTTAAAAAGGTCTCTTTCAGCAGAGCTAATTTGCTTTGAGAGACCCTAATGCTTGAAGTGATGAGTCTGCAATTCCAGAACTAGCTTGCTGAGAGCCTGCGTGGCTGTCATTACGCAGCACTGCATTGGGCAGAGCTTATATATCCTAAGTAAACAGAAAGCCATATTTAATACAATATTTCAAAACTGTGTTTGAAAACTGATCTACCTTCATGCAAATTTGACTTTGTCATATAGCATCTGCAGAGTAAAAGATGTGAATGCAACCTGACATTTCTTGATTTTTGTGTGCCCAACATCACAAACTCAATATTTGCATGCTGTAATTTTGTGAAATACGTATTTCTGTATTCATTGACATGCTATTATTCAGAATTTTGATTATTGAAATGCATTTTGGTTAAGAATCTTATGTTTAAGTAATTCAGTGAGTCTTTTTATCTTTTGATAGCTAGGAAATGGAAGGTGTCAGTCCTCACCAGTGATATGCCATCTGCAGGAACAAGCTCAAAGGTTTATATTACATTGTATGGGCATCACAGCAGTTCGGGGCCTATTTTTCTTGATGGAGAGGAGGGAAAATTATTTCAGAGAGGCAATGAAGACATCTTCACAGTAAGTAATATATATTCATTGTGTTGCCCTCTTGTATCCTGCCAGATTGCATGGCACTTCAAAATCTATGTGATGAAAAGACAGTCAGTTTTTTGTAGGGCACACATATCTGGAAACAAGAAACAGGGCTTAAATGTAGAACTAAATTTAGTGTCCTTTCCCACTCACCTATGCAAATCTGATTTGATCCAGCACATTTTTTGCCTGTTTCAAAAGAACTACTGCTTAATTTACATAGTGCCCAAGAAAATACCAAGAAATATAGGACGACAGATACTTGTTTAGTTTTTAAATTTGAAATGGGGCTACAATATTAAAAATGAAATGAGGAAGTGAAGAGTTAGGGTATGGAGTAAATTTTTAACTTTGTTAAATACCTGCTGCTTTATTTCAATAGTGGCAATTATTATACCTGTAATAAACTCTGTCTTCTGAAGCTGCTTCTGCTCCCAGGTACACAAGCAAATTTCTCCCCCATCAGTCTTGTGGCATGGTGATTTAAGTGAGCCAGAGTAGGTCTCTTATCAAAAGTTGTATAGCTTGAGTGTGTCTGTGGGGTTGTCAGTGGGTGTCTCTAGTAGGTGCCAGCTATAGGGCCATATAACAAACAGGTGCTTCCATTGTTAGTATCCAGCACAGCAAGTCCCCTTCTGAGAAAAGGTATTTAATGGCAGCACTGATGAAGAGTTCACCTTTTTCACAATAGCCTCATAGCTGCTTGGGTTGTAGGAAATACAGTTCTTAGCCCTCTTCAGCCTGATGGCATTTCTCAGAAGAATCCAGCACCTCTGATAGTATGCCATTCTCCATCTGTGATATCAAAAAAACCCAGGTATAAGATTGAAAAGAGTAGATAAGTAACCAGGTACCTGACAGATAAAAATACAATCTTCACAATAGATGTTGTTGTCTCTGTTTCCTGCTCCCACTATTGCAATTAATTTCACCTCCAATGACTTTTAAATGTAAAATATGGAGGCAGTCCCTAGTTTGGGACCTAGGGTTCCCCTCTTAGGTGAGTCTCCATAGCACTGAATACAATTAAGGAGTGCCTACTCTGAAACGTATAGAAAGATAAAAGCCTTTCTGCTTGTGCTGTATGCTAGATCTCAGTTAACTCTAGTCTGTCCTCGCTGCTCTGTCTCTTTATTATTTATAACACTAAGTTCAGAGAAGTTCATGATACAGGGAACTCAGTTCACACCCACCTCTACACTGTAATGAAAACATGAAAATCAATTATACAGAAAACAAGAGGACAGCAAATCCAGCCTACATAATAAGAAAAAAAAATGATACAGCAAGGAGGGAAGACACTCATGGTGTGTTTCCAGTTCCTTGAAGATAAGCTTTCTATTTCTACACTTAAGTTCATAACTAGTTGTTTGAATGACCTTCACACAAATTATTCCCTCAGCACCCTGTTATCTGTACTGGATGCACTCATCCAGCCTGTCCAAAAGCTAATCTTTCAAATACAGTTTTTTAAGTTGATTTGAATGAAATGATTTGTAAAAAGAAACATCAAAGCTGAACACAATTGTTTCCAAAATTGTAAGGCATACCCTCCTGGAGGGGTAGGGAGAAACTCAGAGGTATGTGGGAGGTGCTTGGGAGACAGAAATAATTTTGTAGCAGGTCAGTAGTATAGATGCTAAACTGAGCCAGGTTTTAAGGTCAAGACACTTTTGCTTTTTAGTCATACATACAGTCTGTATTCATGTCCCACTGAGGCCAGTATTCAAATGGGGAGCAAAATAGCTATAGCACCATCCTGAAGCCATTTAAATGGGGTTGGCAGGCCAACAGGCTTTTTAAGGGTTGTCCTCTAAAAGGGCCAAGTTTCTAATGATTATCCAGAGTAAAATATTTTGGAAACACTTGTTTAATTATCAGAATATTTAATTCCATTTAATTTCCAAAAATGCCACTGGACAGTTACTAAATGAATTTCTGTTGCATGTCTTTTCCTTTTAACAAATACTCTGTGTTTCATCTGTTGTTTCTTTTACAGGTTAATACTGGAAACATAGGACATCTCTACAAAATACGCATAGGACATACGAATTCAGGAAACTCCCCTGCCTGGCACTGTGCAGAGGTAAAAGAAGGGAGAAAGAATTTTATCTTTCCAAAAGCAGTAACTATGATGGTGGAGTCAAAATAGGAGTCAGAAAAAAATCCCTGGGACAAGTATATTAGCCTCATCAAATACATGCAGCTTCATTTAAGAGATTATTTTTGAAGAAGTGTTTTTGTATGGAATTAAAGGCAGCTTACAATGGTGTGTCTTGGCTGTTTGTTTGCAGTTTAATGAGAGCTGTACATCATGTTTCTTTAAAAATGTGTGGCTGGGCAGCAAGAAAGACCACTTAAGCTGGCTGCTGTAGTCTGAGTCTTCTACAGTCTTTGTGTGCTACAGGGTGTCAAGAGTTTGCTGAAACCCAGAAAGTCATTGAACTCAGTCTAGCCAAATCCTCCTCAAATCTGTGTCTGACTCTGGGTCTTTATGCACAGCACCAGAGCTACATTGCAAATGTTTCTAGTTCTGTGTCTCTGAGGAGAAAAAGGCAATAACAGATTCTTTTCCCACCTTATTTAAAAAAAGATCTTGATGCAGGTAAAGCAAAGATAATAAAGCAAAGAGAATCAGATAGTCCTGTTTCAAGCTTCAGTCGTGAAGCATAATATATAGGTTTCTGGGCTGGGAATGAAAGGATCTGGCTTTTATCCTTAACATCGGTGATGTACTATGTGTGCCGATGATATGCTATGCATGCCTGAAACACTTCCCTTTTTGTGCCAGAGTTTCATATCCATCAGTTAAGAGACAGCATTTTACGAAGGGCTTTAGAAGTTGCTGGTAAACTCATTGTTATAATTGCACTTCAGGGTAAATCTAGGTCTATCTAACGCAAAGTGTCCACTGAAGTTAAATATTCACTGATCAATGTTCAAACTCTGTGGCTATTTGATGCTTTAACTAGTTGTTTTCATCTGGGACTGAGACTCAGAAAGACAACTAAGTAAAGTCTGGGCAGTGTTAACTGAAGTTTAGGCAAGATCCTGTGAGTTCATACCTGTAGCCAATGCATGCCTACATTGAAATATTGTGTCGCTAGTAGTATCACTCTGTCTAAGAAGTTTCATGCTAGAATTATAGGGATTATATCTCTTTCAGTTCAGATGAAGATTCCTTGATTATAAAGCCTAGGTATTTGTTTTCCAGCTGTGCTGTTTTTTGGGGAATGCTGGAGTCAGAATATAATTTAAGATACTTTTTTCTTCTGTTCCTTGCTATTTTTCTTTTCATAAATGTGTGTGAGGAAGCAGTGAAAGGGTGGAAAATACCTTGTAGCTTTGTCCTGTGAGACAGATGGACAGGTTGCCAAGCAATTTCTAAAGTGTATTTGAGTTCAGAAGCTGGAAGAGAACAGTGGATTTTCTCTTATAGAAAAGGTTAATTTGTATGCTTAATCTTGGTATTAGAAGCTTTGGTTATCATAAAATATGACTCAAGAAATGGACCTTTGTGGGTTTGTTGTATACCATCCTCTGTGAATAGAGGCTGCACTGCCTGCTTTGTATAAGACACCCATTATTGAGAGATTGAAGAAGTCTGACCAAAAAAGGGAAAGAAAAAGTAAGAAGTTATTATTCCTCTTCTCACTTCCCAGCTAGGATATATTAATTGAAATCAACAGTAAAATTGTAAAAGGACTTCAGTGTGTTCCATTGATTACTGGCTTATGAATTTTAATTGTCTCCTTAACAAATCTCAGTCAGTCAGGCAGTCTTTAGGGCGTGATTCATCAGCCAGGGTTAAGTCGTTCTCCCTTTGCAACTTTGGGCAGAAAGTCCAAGAAGAGAAATACATTCAACCAAACACTCTCTCCAAGTAACCTAGTGTTTTGTATGGTAGACAGCCAAAGCCGTATAGCCACTGATTTCTAGATTTCATAGAAGAGAAAGAACCTGCAGCAGGCTCATCAGACACTTAACATCATTGTTCCTTCGGAAACCTACATTTTTCTGGAAGATCTGAAATTAAGAGAAAGCGCTCTACAACTGCAGAGCTTTTCTGGTAATTGGGCATACTAGTCCTCCACCAATATCCCATGGTTTCTGTGTCTGTCTCTGTCCTGAGATGGTATTGGGCCTGAAAATGTCCACAAGGTGCTGCTTCAGTAATCCAAGCTCCCTTTTCAAGATCCATCAGTAGATATCGACAGGCCGAGATATGCCAGGTTTTTCAGACAAGATTAATCTCTTTCTTTACAGTTTAGTATTCAAGTAGTAAAAGAGATAAAAATGTTTCCAGTAATTCTGATACATTCAATATTTGAATTAAGGAGATGAGACTCTGCAAATCACAGAGCAGGAGTGAAACTACAGGTAGAATTATCTTTGCTTCTCTCTGCTGGTCCAAAATCTAGTGTAGCTACTAGTATAAATTAGCCTAATCAAGGACTATTCTAATATACAGCTGCCTCTGAGGTGCTTACTAAGGAATACTGTGAAGCACAAAATAACTAGACCTCCTTCCCTTCTTCAGCTGGTGTGCATATGGTCCTTTTGCTGCTATATGCTGGAAGTTGGGCATGAAAGAAAATTGTGTAGGGCAGACTGGTGTTTGGGCTAGCACTTTCATGGTTTATTTATGTCACAAGCAGTGTTGAAGAACCAAAAGCTGTTCCTTTAATTCCTGTTCTGATAAGAAAATAAGTTAAAGGAATAGAACTGCAAGAGTTGCCAAGCTTCCCAGTGAGAACTTCCGCGTTTGGTAAGACATGCCACCTAGCACCAACCCACGTGGATATACCAGCTGGAACAACATAGCTGTATTTTGTGGGACTGTGCCTGAGCTGATAAACCATGTTTCTTGGCTGCACTTGAGTTACTTTGCCCTGCACTTTTGAATCTGACTGAGTGAAAAGTCAGGTTGGGGGCAGTTGTATCAAGGGAGCAGACATGCCCTAAACTCATGGATTTGTGACGGTGCCACAGAGCTCTACCTGCACAGATTTCAGCAGAATCCCACACATTTCATGTTCTGTTCTATCTGGACTGAGATCAGCAACTTAAATTGCAATTCTTGGTGCTGTTTAGGTGCAGTTGCTGAACCTTTTCTCAGGAGAGCTGTTTTCTTTCCCTGCACATCGATGGCTGGCCTGGGACCAGGCTGATGGGGAAATATGTATGGAGCTTCCTGTTTTACGGCACGGTCAGCCTATTCTTCCAGGTAAGCACAATACCACATCAACTAAGTCAGGCCACAGACTGATGCAGATAGAGGTGAGTTCATTGTTTTTCATCAGGACCTCTATTACTTTTTGCCTGATACAACACTTTTTCTGTGTTGTTTTCCTGTGGTTACTGGGTGTACTCAGGTAAAAGATTAAGAACCACTGGAAAGGAGATGGGAGAGTCTTTAATGCTTTGAATTTCACAGGTCCTTCAGAAAGACTCCTTCTTTGGTAAGATTTTCAGCATTTGTGTTTGCTTTAAAATAAAGGCAATAGTAAAGACACCTCACATATGCGGAACTACCTTGAAGCTGTCACAAGTCAGATCACAAACTCTATTTTCAATAACTGAGGATTATAGCTCCAGTATGACTATTGTAGCTGCTGCTTTAGTTTCGTTCTTGTAAGTGCCTGAGACAGGCTTCCAGAATACTTTTAATTTCTGGGTGTGGAACAAAACTTCAACAATATTTCAGAAGGCTATAAGTGTTAAAAGCTCCATTACTCACATGAAGATTGTATTGTAATTCTAAAGGTGAATGATGACAAACAATACAAAAACTATTGGGTGTTGCTGCTGTTGTACTGTTTTAATGTCCTGCTCTACCACATCAATCCCTGTCACCCATGCTGGATGTTGGTGCTATACGGTCTCTCTGCTTCAGCAATGGGAAGGGAGTGGAAAGTCTGTGCTTGCTCTTCCCTTCTCTACAAATGGCATTGTTCTTTTCTGGGCTAAGGAAAGTACAAGGGTGTAACAAGATTAGTGATGAGATCTAGGAGAGATGTGGGTGAGGGAGCAAGAATGCTGGGACAGATTCCTATACTGTATGGTGCGATGGTAGAGGGGGAAAAGTTGTAACACCACCTGTATTACCTGTGCTGGAGCTTTCACTAGAGCAAGATCCACCTGGGACAGATTCCACAGCTGCCTCTCTTCCCTTCCCCCAAAAATCATATCAGCTGCAAAGGACAAGATTAATGGGATGAGAGAAACTTCCATTTAAAGTTCTTTAAAAACTATAGAACCCCCTTTTCAAAATGTTTAATACTATAACAAAGCTTGGTGGTATGTTTATGGTACTTTGTGTTCATCTTGCAAAATTGAAATGGTAACAGGCATTTCAATGGTACCAGCTGTTGTGGGTGCAGGGCAGAGGAAGAGGATATAAATGAAAATGAGGGGCAGAAGTCCAGAAAATGGCCCATGGATGCGGGAAAACATACCATGGGACAGTCACTCTTGTAATAAAGAGCTGGGTGGACTGGAGCTGTATTTATGCCTATCTATGGTGACTGAGCACTGAGATTAAGAGCCTGAAAAGAAGAGCAGAAAAACAGGTTTGTGCCTCATTAATATGTCTTTGAGAGAAAAGGAATAGCAGGAGAGATTTCCTCCAGTGATGTAGTTAGCAGCTATAAATGGCTCATAAAATGCTGTAGAGAGACGCTGTCCAGCCCTAACGACAATGGTTTTTGATCTTGAGTGGTTATGATCTTCACACCCTTGAGGGTATGAAAAGCCTCAGAGGCAGTCAGCCTGCTCCCTCATAGGTTTGGCCTCTTCAGTCAGGAGACTTTAATATTATTAGCGTAGCAGGACATACAAGCACATTGGTATAAAAACCCAATGCCCCACCCCTTTAAATAAATGTTAATTAATGATCATTAACATGTTATATTGAACATGCTCTGATCCCCTACTTACAGTATCTGTTCTTCCCCAAATGTTCTATTGCTCAGTATTCTGGGACACTGACCTTACCCACTTTCTAAATTTCAGGCTCTTCTTTCTGACTAGGTTGTTTCCTTGTTTCTGAGATAAAGATACAATGAAAGATTTTTATTATCAAGTAGAAGTACAACAGCATACTTAAACCATCCTCTCAATCTGCATTTTGTAGTTAACAATTTCTCCCTAACACAAGAGAGGAAGAAAAGAACTTCTGTGCATTTCTGCCAGCCTCGGTATAAGAGGGGTCATGCTGAAGGCTTTGGAGAAGGCAGTTTCATCTCTAACTTAGTAATTGAAAGACAGCCTCTTTGTCTTCTTGCCAATATTATATTTCTGCATGAGACAGTGAAAAGGGAACATAGCTTTTAACTTCAGAGAAGATAGTTTGATAACAGAACAGCAAAGAGGTCTGGATTCAATCTGAGAGAGAGATGATGAGAGGCACTTTAAAACCAATTTCTGAATAAAAAGAGGCTGAAACACTTTCTGATTTAACAGTCTTTTTTATTCAAAGGAAAAAAGTCTGAATTAACCTGTTAAGAAGTAATACACAGAGACCTTGTGGTTCTAATGCTGGGGGACTGAGCACCATTTGTTTGACTTTTTATCCTCAACCATCCTACTTTTGTCCCCTTCTGCTCATGTTTTATGATGCAATCTTTAATTATATGATGATGAACTACTTGCTGGGGATAAATCAGAGTTACACAGTGTTTGGTGGCTGTTGGACCTTTGCTTTTCTTCTTGCAGAAACTGGAAAGTAGGTAGCTAATGGAGGGAATTGTAGGAATAGAGAGGATTGTTGTGGTCTTAGACATGGGATCATTGGTCTGGAGAAATGAATTCTCTGCCTCTGCCATGATCTGTTCATGGGGTACCTGTTCATGTGGGTGTTATAAAGAAAAATTTGGGGAATTAAATAGATCGGGTGGTGACATGGTAAATGATGTGGGTAAAACACAGCATTAATTAACAGTTCCTAAATGAAAACTATTTTGAGTATTAAGACAGGTGTACTCTGGGGAAAAAATAGTACATGACTATGCTGCTAGCTAAAGACTGTCAAAAGTTTCTATGCCTTAAATGTCGCTGGCTTTTGTCCAAATAATAATAGCTGGTCTGAAAAAGATGTATGTTTTACCTCCTTGTTCTATCTCTCATAATTCATAGACATAGGGGAAAAAATTAAATTTTGTAAATAATCTTAACCCTTACACTTTCTAATTTCAGAATGATGTGTTTACAAATGTAATGTTTTACACTTATAGAGAAAAATATATGTAAAGAATACAGTTCCTTCTCTTAATCTCTGTTCTTCACACTTTTCCATGGAATATCTAAAGGAAAGAATCATAGAACCATAGAATATCTCAAGTTGGAAGGGATCCATAAGGATCTTCAAATCCAACTCCCTGCTAACAGGACCACCTACAATTAACCGTATGACTAAGAGCATTGTCCAGATGCTCCTTGAACTCTGACAGGCTTGGTGCCATGACCACTTCCCTGGGGAGCCTTTTCCAGTGACCAACCACCCTCTCAGTGCAGAACCTTTTCCTAATGTCCAACCTGACTTCCCCTAACGCAGCTTCATTCCGATAAGAGAGTCACTATTTCCTAGGATAAAAGCTGTAAGCATTATAAATACTCATAAATACTTATTATAAAGCTGGGATGATCCCTAGGCTTATGAGAGGTAAAGAGAAATGTAAAAAATTGTGAAAATTGTTTGAATTTTTGAGTTAGCTATTTTAAGCCTCTATGCTGGATTTATTAATAGCATATGTCTACAGTACTTCAGTGGAGTTTAGAGTTACCCAGTTTAGAGGTACCCAGTCATCTTCTCAAAATGAGTTAGCTCTGATGCTAGGAGCAAACTAGCACTAGCGTTCTGTATGGGCACATTAAAATAACCTGTGCAGCGTCCTTACTCTTTTAGCTAGGTTGTTACCATTATCCAAACTGAATTCTTTAAAGACAGCTTGTATAGTAACCTGCACACAAATGCCATGTAAATAAATGTGAGATAATCATAAAAAAATAAGCATCAAGGGAAAAGTTGTAAACACTGAACAGCCACTTAGCACAATTGCAGATATAGGCTGATCGTGAATAAATTTTCACTGGTTATTAAAAGAAGGTGTTTGTTCATCAGAAGAGTCAGATGTGGGAGCAACCTCCTTCAGAGGATTAGTCAGGCTTCATAACATCTTTCAGTGGAAAGTGATAATTGAATTATGATAATGTTGATGTTGTTCTGGACCCCATGGTCCAGAAACTCTTTTCTACTACTAAGACAGAGAAGCACAAGGACACCTACATCTGGACAAAGAGCTTGTGTGCCAGAAAATGAGGTTTTCTCTGCCTCTTTCACTCTGTACCTCATTTAGTCTAACAAAATATTGTTACTGTATGTTGGCATAAGCTTTGCCTTTCCCATGTTTCTACTGAAGATTATAATTGCATGTTTTTACCTTAATTCTGAATTTTACGGGATTCCTATATCTGCATTTTAATGACCACAGTTTTCCATTGATATGTATTTTTATGTATCATAGTCTTTATTCCCAGTTTCACTGGATTTTTACCCAAATTTAATTTTATTTGAATTATCCATTTCTATTAAATAACCAATTTATTGAATTTAAGTCCTAGGTTTTTCCTCCCAAATTTACAGCCTTTAAAGAATTTCCATATGGAATGCAACGGTATCCTATCCTATTGCATGAACCAGTAAAATAATAAAACACTGCAGCTTTCTGAGTTCTGAGGCCCTAGAAAACTAAAACTATGGTCCTATATTTTTGCTTGTTTCATTAACCAGTGCTTTCAAAACATTAATGTCTCCTGTTGCTTGTTATAGTTTTGATCTCATCACTTATGGTGAGGCTAATCTTGGATTTATGTTATTTACTTTTCAGCTTTATGATGATTTCAAATGATGCTGCAGGACAAAGACATGCTATTGTGCATTTAAAGTACAATTCTGTTTGCATGCCCCATAGTGACAGTCTGGGATAAAAAACATAAATGTAACATGAAAACAAGTTTGTACATTATTTTACCTGATATTGTATAGGATTTTTAAAGTTTTATACTCTAACTGTCCTTGACACAGATGTATTTGGACTCTGCAGGCACATTCACAGCTAGATGTTATTGTAACAATAATAGTGTTTGTGATATGAAAGGTTGTCATCTTTTATTGTCAGTGACTGTCTATGAAGTGCATGTGACAACAGGAGAACTGTGGAATGCTGGAACTGAGGCTGATGTCTATATTTCTGTCTATGGAGAAAGAGGTGATACAGGATCAAGACAGCTGCTCAGGTCACAGAAACCCAAGAAATTTTTGAAAGGACAAGTACGTGAAAGACTAGGCATCTTCTCATATGTTTGGCTGGCTTTTCTCTCTCAGGTGGGCGGTTATCCCAGGCAAGGTGCAATTAGAAAAGAGATAATTACTGCATTCCAATGTTTCCCCAAGATTCCATCATTAAGCCAAAAGTACTTTCTAAAGGTATACCAGTGCTTTTGGAAGACAGAATTTTTCATTTATAAAATTGGTAAACTGTGTACTTTTGTTTTTAATTCTTCTAAAAAATTTGATTTAATACATGAAGAGAAAACTTTACATTTTATAGCTGCATTTCTAATGTTGAAATCTGCTGTAATTTGTAATTGTTTAGCCAATGAAGCTTTCAGCAGGTTTCACTTTTCTGATTCTCATCCCATTCATTTGAATGGAACTACTCCCATTAGCAAAGTGATCAGGATTACTTACTTCTTTTATTTCAGGAATCCTGTCCTTCTTTGTTTGTTGTCACCTTATCATTAGCTGATATTTCAAAGGATGATCTTGACAGAAGAGTTCTGTGGGTTTATGGGTCTTCAGGATTCCACGGCTGAAGAACGCTTTGTTTTTTAGATTGTACTGAAATTTTCTTGATTGATTACAGACTGACATCTTTGCTGTTGAAGCTGTGCACCTTGGAGTTTTGTACAAGATTGTTATAGGACACAATGGTCTTGGATCAGGTCAGAAATCTCTCTCTATAGTCACTGAATACTGCATGCAAAGTTATTAACCTTCTCTTTGAAATACAATATGTATTTCTAAAACTGAATGTATGAAAATATTTTAGAAGTGAAAGACAGAAGCTTCTAAGGAAACCGTTCAAGTGACACAATTACCTTATTGGATCATCACAAATTTCAAGTATTTTGTGTTCACTTTCACTATACTCTCAACCATTATGTTAAGGACACCATCTGCTACTGTTCTGTCATTTTTGACTAATCCTGATGAAAAAACTGTGAAGAGGGGTAGTGCCTGCATGATAAGACACTGAGTACGTCTTGTGCAGTCTGTGTTACAGATGAAATGGGCTACTATAATTTTAGGTTGATTAGCATTATTAGTTAAACTGTAAAGACATAGTTGGAGATTTTGGCTATGCTATCTTGTCATTAGACACCCAATTAATGGGGAAACTCAAATTGCTTGCAGTCACAAGACCCGTTTTTCAAACTCTTGAGCCTAAATATTGTAAAACATAGCAACTTCTTTTGAGCCTTGATAAGCTGCTATCTAATCTTGTTGCTATTTTAATTGGCAAAAGAAATACCTCTCATACAATGACGATGTTAAATGAGCGGGGGATGTGCATCACTCAGGGCCATGACAGCCAGGGAGGGACGTAGCAGCTTGCAGGCCTGTAAGCAAGCTCTACAGTACCTAGAACAGGTACTGTTCTCTCCAGTCATCAGGGCAGCCATGACTAGCAACCTGCCAGTGGAGCTGCAGATTTTGCAGTTCCAGTAGAAGGGAGAAAGCCATAGGAAGTCAGACTTCATTAAATCTGCCTCTCATGAACTAAGTTTTTTTTTTTTTTTTAATTTATTCTAAGGAAACGGCTGGTTTCTGGACAAAGTTGTAATCAAGGATCCTATAACAGATTTGGATTATACTTTTCTTTGCCACAGGTTAGTGGTGTTTCATTTGGGTTAGTTTTTTAATAAATTTGTAATTACTCATAGTTTTTCTTCTGAGATATCCTGTCAAGGGAAATATGTGTTTCCTAACAAGTGAGCTGAAATAGTCTGATTTTTTTTACAGCTCTCTGAGTTGTACCTGCCCCAAATCTCTGGTGCATTTGAGCTTATGAAAAAGCAATAAAAAATTCTGCCTGTGAAGTTTTCCATTCCTGCACCTTGCAAACTATTCAAGATGTGCTTTTTTGACATATTCCCCATATTCAAGACCTTGGATCTGGCACCAGCAGGTCCATCCATTCTTCCATGTCATGCAATGCAAGGCTTTTCAGAAGAGCGGGTTGTTGTCTTTTTAGCAGACTGATCCTACTTTACTGAAGTTAGTATGGGTATTAACTTGGGGTTCAATGAGCCCAAGATCAGACTTTAAGATCTTGTGAAATAGCTATGACAAATGCAGCTACCTGACCACATCTCTTTTTCTCATTTGCCTTGCAGCCTCTCACTGAGCTGCAACATAATTTGAAGCAATCCTAACTTCCCTGCCTTTTCCCCTGCAGATGCTGCTGCTCTGAATCTTCTGTTCTATAGCTCACTTCTAATTTTATCTGCACCTGATTAATTCTCAACACCTTACGGAAAAATTATAATTGATAAAGATCTGTGTAAATATTAGGAATGGTAAAGTCCAGTCACGTATGAATCAAGCTACAGCTTGCCAGTGGCACCTCAATTCTATTTCCACCTCTCACTTCTCTGAGTGAATAAATAACTGCCTGAGACAGCTCAGAGTGAGTGATGTGCACACTGAAACTGATTTATGCGTGAGTAAGGGCTTTCTGCCTATCAGATACAGCACCTCATCTTTGCCTGACCTAATTTTGATTCTGTATTCTAGATGAGATGAACTGCTATGAAGAGATCTATAATGCTAGCTTCATACATAATTTAGGGAGAGTTCAAATCCATTTCAGGCAGAAAAATGCAGGGTATGTGCTAGTTATTGTTAGAGCCCAATGCCATGCTTGCTGATCTTGCTCTCGCAGTGTGTGAATCGTTTTGACTCAAATGGAGTTAGACTTAACTTATGTAAGTAGATGTGAAGCAGGTACAATGGCATTGTAAAAGTATAGTTCAGACATGGTAAAATTGTTGCCTGTGGTGGATTTGCCTCCCTGTATAGGGATTATCAGGGCATGGAACACTTTGTATCCTGCTGTAGCCTTCTTGCATACAGGAAGAGCAAACATCATGACCATTGCACCCTTTGTTATTGATATTTGATCAATATAAGTTCTCTGATTTCTAATAATTGGCTTAGGCCCTTGTACCTCAGTCCAGGAAAGCATTTATTTATAAGTTTCATCAAGAACAAACAAACAAACAAAACCATTTTTGCCAAAGTCAATCTCTTTTCACTAAAGCTGGATTTTTGTATTGCTGTTTATCAGCCTTGAGATTTTAATAAATAGAACAGGAAGTATCAGTATGCAAATGCCATGTATACAGTATTGTGGGAGTTGCCAATCAAGGTTATATTACCAAAATGGGTTCTGGTTTTTAGGTGGCTGGACCAGGGGCAGGATGATGGCAAGATTGCTAGAGAACTGACTGTGACAGATGCCAGCTCGTTCCCAGGAAGTAGGTGAAAAGTGGTGGGGAGAAGAATCCAGCATCACTGCAACTGTGTCAAATGGAATGAGGATGCTCTGTAAATTAATTACACTGTTTTTATCTGTACAGGACAAGAGCTGGAACTCAAGAGAGAGGAAACTGTAAGAATGTACCTTTTTCTATTTAAACCATTCAAATTATGCTTTGAGTGAAATCAGGTCAGTTGTTCTCATGTATGTCAAATTCCTGTGTATCATCTTCTCATAAGTCTTTTCTGCTTGTTGTTTACAAAACTAGTGGGCTGCTGAAAAGTGGAAATTTCAGGAAGGCAATACACTTCAGTTTTACAACAGGCTTACCCATGGCTTCATTTGCCTCAGTCCAGATAGCAGAGTTGATGCTCTTGGTGACAAGAAAAACAAATATGGTAAAGTATATTTCATGTGGTTGTATGCTTAAGAAACACAAGAAAGGAGGACTTTATAGTTCACTGTGATCTCATATAGCGATTCCTCTAATAAATAGGAGTAGATAATTAAACATTTTCCTTACTTAAAATATTTACATGTATTAATGGCTATAAGAACCCTAAACTGTTGTTTAAATTTTCATTTAGGGGCCCTGCTTCCTTGTGTGTACTTTGGAATAAAGTCCTCTGACATAAATTACCTATCTTTCCTAATAGAAAACTCTGCATTTCAGATACTGGTAGAACTGTTTATTTGTCTTCAGCAGATCTAAGGCAATATAATTCACAGGCCTTCAAAGTGGTGATGGCAAATTATATCAGGTGATGATTTGGTCTAGATTTTTTTTAATTTCTCAGGAAGCTTTATCTCTATGTGAAAGCAGAGACCCATTGTGACAGTTATGTGTCCTGCCTATCTTGCCCCAAGGACTAGAAACCCCATCTGTGTTTCATGATTTGTGGCATTGTCCCGATGGGCACAATGATCCTTGCCTGCATAATTCTCATGGTCTCAATGACACCCTGAAAATCTTACGTTATGGACACCACAGGAGTCCTCCAGATACAGCTGCACTTTACAAACAGACAACATAATGTACTGGTAGAAGAGCTGTTTAAAAAATCAGCTGTTGCTGCTGGGAACAATAAAAATGGCACTACTTTAGCTTTCATCAGTCTTTTGTAGCTTTAAGAGGTAATTATTTAGAAAATTGGCCAGAATTAAAATTTTAGAAGCCATGAGCTATGCTGCAAGGTTTGCTTTACAAATTCTAATATGGATACAGATAAAATGAATTATCTTTTCCCACCTGAGAGTTTTATGTTCCCTACTTCTCCCAAGTAGCTAGCAATAGGACAAGAGGAAATGGGCTCAGGCTGTGTCAGGAGAGATTTAGATTGGATATTAGGAACAATGTCTTCACAGAAAGGGTAGTCAAGCATTGGAACAGGCTGCCCAGAGAGGTGGTGGAGTCCCCATCACTGGAAGTGTTCAAAAAAGAGGTAGATGTGGCACTTTGGGACATGGTTTAGTGGGCATGGTGGTGTTGGGTTGATGATTGGACTGATGATCTTAGAGGTCCTTTCCAATCTTAATGATTCCTATTTTTTACTTTCATTATAAATAATCCAGCCACCAAGCTACAAAACATGAAATTGCTACTCTACCCTTAATTGTTTTAGTGGCGGACTTGGTAATGTTAGGTTAATGGTTGGACTAGATGATCTTAAAGGTCTTTTCCAACCTAAACAATTCTATGATTCTATCTGTTATTTATCATGTAAATTCATTGCTATAGCCCAGTTCATTATGCCGGAGTCCTCAGCTCCTTTTTATGGATTTTTTTTTTTAAACATATACACTGATCAGAAGAAATTTGTTCCTTATCATTAGGTCTCAGGGTTTTTCTTCTCAAGGCAGTGAAGTAGACAGTAGTTTATAGATGCCCTTTCCTGAAAGAATGAGGGGATTCATTGATCAGAGGGGACAAACTGTTGAGTTAAACACTTGATTCATTCTCTTCCCTTGAAAATGATAAATCATTGATTGTAATTAAATGCAAATATGAATTCATATACTCTCATACTTCTAACATTTTTTTCATTTAACTTTTAGGTCTTTTTGATGTAAATGTCAAAGGGAGAAATATATGTGTGTTCAGCAGTCATCAGATGCCACGTCTTGCTCTTGCTCTTGTTAATGGACACGTAATTGGAAAGGTAGGAAATGTTGTTACGGATTTCTGCTTCATAATTACATTTAATTGTCTGATTAAAAATAATGCTGTTTTTAATCTGTCTAGTAATTGTGCTTCCAGTCAGATAAAGAGCTAAGAATTGCAGACCTGAACCCAGGAAATTGCCAATGAATAGGCAAATTTAGACGTAGGGCTTTGTCTGTTTTCTCACAGTTTACTTTTTACCCTTTGGTTGGATTTTTAAATAGACTAAATGATTTCATGTAGGAATACCAGGCCATTCCAAGCAGTAATTTATATTGGCTTGCCACATGTTGATGAGGTACCTGGAATGCCCTCATAGCTTGTTGACAAGCCTGAGGGATGGTGTGCCATCCAGAGGGACCTGGACAAACTGGAGAGGTGGGCCCATGTGAACCTCATGAGGTTCAACGAGGCCAAGTGCAAGGTCCTGCACCTGGGATGGGGCAACCCCCGATATCAATACAGGCTGGAGGATGAAGGGATTGAGAGCAGTCCTGTGGAGAAGAACTTTAGGGTACTGGTGGATGGAAAGCTGGACATGAGCCAGCAATTTGCGCTCACAGCCCAGAAAGCCAACTGTATCCTGGCTGCATCAAAAGAAGAGTGGCCAGCGGGTCAAGGGAAGTGGTTCTACCCCTCTACTCTGCTCTGGTGAGACACCACTCTGGAGTCCTCAGCACAGTAAAGATATTGACCTGTTGGAGAGGGTCCAGAGGAAGGCCACAAAAATGATCCAAGGGCTGGAGCACCTCTCCTATGAAGAAAGGCTGAGAGATTTGGGGTTGTTCAGTCTGGAGAAGAGAAGGCTGTGGGGAGACCTTACTGTGACCTTTCAATACTTAAAGAGGGCTTATAAGAAAGATGGGGACAGACTTTTCAGCAGGGCCTGTAGTAGTAGGACAAGGGGTAGTGGTTTTAAACTAAAAGTGGGTATACTTAGACTAGATATATGGAAGAAATTTTTTACAATGAGTGTGGTAAAGCACTGGAACGGGTTGCCCAGAGAGGTGGTAGATGCCCCATTCCTGGAAACATTCAAGGTCAGGTTGGACAGGGCTCTGAGCAACCTGATCTAGTTAAAGCTGTCCCTGCTCACTGCAGGGGAGTTGGACTAGATGACCTTTAAAGTCCCTTCCAACCCAAACTATGGTTCTATGATTTCCTCTTTTTGGATAAGTATAAGTTCTAAAGATTGATTTTAAATGCCCATTTTTCCTTTGTGTCTTTTCTAAAGTGACATGCCTGTCATAAGCCAACTGAAATATTCCAGACTTGTTTTGATCCATTTTGATTTATTTCATCCCATCTTCAAAGACTTACTATTGCCTGCCTTTCTCAGCGCTTGCAGTATACAAGTAGGCAAATTGAATTGTAGAAATTAGTTCTTTCCAATGAAAATCTTCTACTGTTGAGGGAAGAAGCTGTTTCCCTTTCACTTTTTTGAGTTCTTCCCCTTATTTATCCAGAGACTAACTTCACAGTCAAAGCAGGTTCCATTCCTCTTTTACGTGATGTGCATCGGCATTAGTGGGAATAGAGTACTCTCAGTAGAGTTAGATTTCTCAATGGGGATAGCATCAGGCTGCAAGGCAAACTGTCAGACCTCCTTGCAGGACTTCTAGTGTTCATGTTCATTAGTGTAATTCTGATAAAGAGAACCCCTTGCAGTCTGTCACATTGCAGTATATCTTACTATAGAGAGGTTATTAACTGGGTACTTAAATTTGAACTTTCTCTTTTCTGCTTTGCTACTGACATGCTTTATGATTTTGAGCAACCTATAGAAAATCTGGATCTCAATTTTCTTATTTTTAGTTGTACAAGACATTCCTTTTCCCAGGGAATGTTAAAAATGCTGTCATTTAAAACTTTTGGGGATTCTTGGAATGAAGATATGTAAATGTAAACCGAAATGGTAATACAAAAATTGCAACTGACCTTACAATACATACTTAATTAGTTTTGAGGACATGCTTGCTCACTTGTTTCACAACCACTTCTAAAATCCATACGATTTTTCCTTTATTTTTAGAATTATATCGAATGTGATAGACAGGTTTTTTGAGTATTCTCAAAGCTTCTGGAGCTTTTTCTGCAGAAGGTAGTGCCTTGGAAATGAAAATTTTCCCTAGAAATATTGATTCTTTGGTGTCTTAAAAATGCTGAAAAAATGTTAGATGATGTAAGCCAGAAGTCTTTTAAATTATTGGGCTGATTATTAGCATTTTATGTTTATTTAAATCCTAATTTTATTTAAATATGAGAACAACAATGGGGTTGATGATAAAATATTTAAATGTGTATTTTGTATATTGTATCTTCTATGCAATGGGATCACAGTCTGCAAACCTGAACAGACAAGGATGGATAGTGTGTTGCTGTACTCTTTCATGTAAAACTTCTGACTCCTTAAGTGTTTTCTGTGAGAACAGTATAAGTAAATGAGGAGGAACACTGAGGCAAACGAAGGGGGGCTGGTGGCAGAGAGTTGCTGTAGTTCATTTCCTGTCCATGTCAATTTTATATTCCAACCTTCTTTGCTGCATTTGTAGGCTGAGACTCTAACTCTCTCTCTGATTGAGGTGCCCACGTATCTTTCAAGTTATCCCTAGATCTGTGTCACCTGAAGATGAACTGTTTCTGTGCTTTGAAATTCCAGAGGCCACAGTTTTAGGATTTTGGTATCAGGACTGCGAATCTGAAAAATATAAAGACATTTTCATACTAGACTGGTAATATTGTGGAAACTTGAACAACACAAACTATATTATGATACTCTCTGTTCTGGATTTTGCCATATCTAGTAGTTTATGTAATTTATTATTCCTACTTTGACTTTGTCAGAGTAAAGACAAGACTTGCTGTGAGCTCTGTGTTCACCTTCAACCAAATGGTTGTGCCATTCTTGCGTCAGCCAGGAGCCCAGGTCACACCGTTACGTTCAATCTTCAAGGCAAAACAGCTGATGAAGCAACAGGATACGCTGGACTTTCCACAGAATTTGTTGTGCATGTCAAGGTAAGGTGGGCAGAGGGAAATTAAGCCGACTTTTCTAAAATTTACTGTCATAAAGCAGATTGTATCTCATCAAATGGCAGAGGATTGCAAGCTAAAAGAGTGATCCTCTTCCACCAGGTGGAGCTAAACTACGGCTTAACAGGTAGGCGGCACTTGCGAAGTTTTGTTTTACTGCTCTCCTGGGGCAAGCGATGCCGATACTGCATCTGGTAAATGCAAATAAGGTGGGCTGCTACGCAGAAAAGATGCAGCTTTAAACTTTTTAGTAAACCTTCGAAAAGTAGGAAGGTAGACACAGACAGGAGAGCTGCATGGGAAATGACTTAATTTGGAAGGAGAACATGTTTCCTGAACTTGCCATGCTCCTTGTGCTCTGAATGTTGTGCTGCGCTGCTGAACGATAAAAAGCAGGGAAGCTGTGGAGTAGGGAAGGATTTCCACTGTCCAGGTTAATGTCTGCACAGAAAGCAGCAAATATTCAAAGGCTGGAGGTAAACTTGAATCACTTGGGACTTACTAATTTACGTTTTATACATGGAAACACAGTAGTAAGTTCTTAAAAATAAATCAGTATGAACAATATAAGTGTCAAAGTTTAATATGGAGAAAAGCTGTGCTATTCACAATGGACTTCTCGTCTCTGTTCTGCAGGGTGTGTTTCACCATGGTGCCATCATTCTGCTCAACACAAGTCTCTGCCAGGCTCTGTCCCTTCGACCTGATGGGAGCTGCAGTGGAGCAGGTCAGCAGCAGCAGGAA